TCGTAGTCTATTAATATTCTATGCAGGGGGCACGGGGATGTTTTACGTCAGTAATATTCTGTGCAGTGAGATACAGGAATGTTATTACGTCAGGAGTATTCTATGCAGTGAGATACAGGAATGTTATTTGTCAGTAATATTCTATGCAGTGAGACATAGGAATGTTTTTACATCAGTAATATTCTATGCAGTGAGATCCAGGAATGTTATGCGTCAGTAATATTCCATGCAGTTAGATACAGGAATTTTATATGTCAGTAATATTCTATGCAGTTAGATACAGGAATGTTATGTGTCAGTAATAGTCTATGCAGTGAGATACAGGGATGTTATATGTCAGTAATATTCCATGCAGTGGGATAACAGGAATGTTATGCGTCAGTAATATTCCATGCAGTGAGATACAGGAATGTTATTCGTTAATGGTATTCCATGCAGTGAGATAGAGGAATGTTTGACGTTAGTCGCATTACATGCAGATAGACACAGGGTCGTTATACGTCAGTGACATTCCATAAAATGAGATACAGGCATGTTTTGCGTCAGGGATATCCCATGCAGTGATATACTGAAGATTTTCTTCATCGGTGGAATTCCATGCACTGCTTGTGAAGCAGTAGTTGGCTACACTTATGTCCTTCTGTTTAGTGATCAACAGGTGCCTCTGCAACAGAATACATACGTCTATCAGAACCAGGGACTTGGTCAGTGAACGGAGTAACGGGCAGTAGATCTGTATTAGAATCAGCAAGGAACTCACAAGGTTCTCCTTCCCATCCAGCAGGCAGCATCAAACTATATGCATTTATGACTTTCGCAGGAAGTATCGTTTGGCAAAATGACAGTTTGCCTGAAGTGCGCTGGCTTAAGGGCAAATTACCGGCAAAAACAGTAAACGACACAAAGATTTAATCCTCACTTTCCCCCTTTCCAATCTTAGTATTAAATGTCGTTCTAAATTTCCACAAACCTTCGCAGTATGTATGTTATAATGAATACATTGATGTATGTTCATATGGTAAGATGATTTGTAGGATATTGTCGGCTTTACAAACTGTTGTACAGGGAATTGTGTTATGTCTTTTCTAGTGAAAAGACTCACTAATTAACTTCAAGGAGATTCACTAAAGGCAACCCATCGGTAGAACACAGCATGCTACGTTGTAGGGCAAGCGTAGAGTTGGTACAGAACCAGTCTCGTCGCGCCTCATGATGGCTGCAGTATACTTTGGAATTTCAGTGTTTATAACAGCTGGACGATGTATCTGGGTTTGTTTGGAAGGTTTATTGTAAAATCAGATCTCACGGTTGCCAAGTTTATGCGTCAATGTATAGGCATGGCGAATAGAACCAGTATGATATATGTGGGCGAATGCAATCCTCTGCTGTTATATTCATCATAATGTATGTAACATCAACCTATATGACAGTGCTGCAAGTAACAGAAAGTTTCTTTGGATAGATGATGTATTTGGCTGCCTTGGAAGCATGCGTAAAACAATCCATGTGCATATTTACTTCGTGTACTATCAAGAGTACACATCTCTTTTATACAGTAGGTATTAATGGTGAGTATGTACGCTAAATATGTCACACGAAAGTCATGCTGTGGTTTGATGTTACTGCGGTCGACTTTCAACAGCATACCTTTGTCCCATCTCGCTGAGGTTAAACACCTCTCGCTGTGTTCATCGTATTTCATGAGTCAGATCTGCTCTGACATCACTCACGTAATGTGACACGATCTTGATGAACACTAAGTATCCGGTACCAGCCAAAGGCATTGACAAAACCCGGACAGCGTGCGTTTCCCATTGGTCGTGTTCATTGGTACAAGATGGAAAGTTTGTGTCTCTCGCTAAATTAGTCCCATGGTACAAGAAGGGCAGTTTGTGTCTCTCACCAAACTAGTCCCATGGTACAAGATGGGCAGTTTATGTCTTTCGCTAGTTTTTGTGACTTGATACGAGATGTATCTGTTATGTATTTTACCAGTGGTATGTACTGACACTAAATGGACAGTCTGTGTCTCTCACTGACCTTTTGTCTTTTATAAAACATGGACAATTATGTCACTGTATTAATACTTAATTCATCTGGGGCACGTACGTCATACCCCCTATCGCCTTTATCAGAACTTCAGTGTTGGCACTGGTATAAATTCAAGTGCCTACAACTGCCTCACACTGGACTACAATTACAACGTGGCGTCAACAGCGTACGCGTGTATTGTTGTGTCTATCAGTCTTGTTCTGAGATAACGATGTGTCCAAGAATATCAGTTTCGTCTCCTGTGGTGTTGTTTTAATTAACCCAGAAACTATTACCACTAATTGAATAGGGATCAAACTACACTCCCATATCAGTCCATGTTTTGATTGGAGAAGAGACAAATCCTGGTGTGGTCACGTATATCTGAGCATACGCATATTTGTAGTGCTTTTACTCACAATTACTTGATAAAAATACTGAACAAACAGTTCTCAGTTTTGTTCATCGTTTATTGCAGTGTCAAGATAGGGACCAGCTCTCGTCCTGCAGCTTTTTCGTATGTGATTTACTTTAGGTGTAAACCCAAAGTGACGTCCCTAATAACCCATTTTCGGCAACAGGCGGTTATCCAGTAAGAAATGGACTCATCAGAAAAAAACATATTGAATTACTTCATTACAAGTCCACTTATATATCTAACTTGCAATAGGGCATGTTGTTATGTTTGACACGCACACACGCACACACACATACACACACACACGCTGAGGCATGCATTGTCAGATGTGTGCTAGTTGTCTATTATACACTTGGGTGTCATACGTATACCAGTTGTCTTCCTAATATAGGAGGTCAAAGGTATACCAGAGGTTCTACAAATAGGGGCCGGATGATTGACAGCTGTCTTTGACAAGTGTGGATTAATACTTAACTACCATACACAAGTATTGGAACACTTTTCCAGACAATTATTTCAAATAATATTTTCTAACAAGTGATTGACTGTTGAGAAAATGATAAGGCCAAGTTTACACCCTTGTCTGAAAACTGTATAACAATAAAAGTTATGACATGGGTTCCTTCCCGGCTCAGTCTTTCCATGTATGCCATTCTCCATAAGAAGATGCCGCCGCCGTATAGCTGAAATATTGCTGAGTGCGGCGTTAAACAACAAACCAACCATAAGAAGATGATACAACTTATTCATATTCACATGCCAAATGCTTTTTTGTATATGCAAGCGCATTAAAAGCTTTCTTTCTTCTAAATGGTATGGTCTTTAACCATAGACTGTTATATAAATAATAATCTAATTTAGAGTAGTGTTTCCTAAATCCGCCTTGCTATTCACCAACAATGTCAGAATTTAGTATATTCAGTACAGTTTTCAGTTCTCTTCCGTATAGTAGGAGTGAATCTGTTGGTCCAGTGATACTACCAATTGTACGTGGGAGCAGAACTATATGTCATATTAGTGTAAAACAGAGCAGGTTACGATGCAAGTGTATCCGTAATATGTTCTGGATTTCTGTGTTAATTAGTTCAAATTGGGGACTACCACCTCCCGGTGATTTATTGAAACTAAACACATCAATCGCCATCTATTACCAGATAATATGACTGCACTGTAAGGATATTCGTCCCTCAGCAGTTAAAATCTTGCCCCCATTAACTCTGTACCATAGTATCCAGTAAATTGGACATAAGTACAAGAAACAGCAGTTATCATTTGCAACACACGGTAGTTACCTAAAAAAATTCATAGAGTCATTCTTGCAAATATGTCGCTGAGTAAATTCTGAATGTGAGGCACTATTTTGTGACCAAGGTGCTTTGCTTTTGGGATACTCCAACTGAAAACATTCATAATTGGTTAGCATATCATTAACGTCTACGTTTCGATGAGTATATATTTCTATGAATTCAAAGAAACCTGAACTACTTCAGCGTCTGTGTAAGCAGCACGAATCGATCGTGTCACTTGCCCGAGGCAGAGTGGCACTTGGAGCTGTGAGGTCAGGGATTTTTCATCTAAATTTCATCGCACGTGATTTTCCTTCGTAGGTTTCCACGAGAGACTGCTGATAACGAGCTAAGCACATGCAACTGCAAATATAGAGTAAGCGCTGGGGATGGTCTGCGTAGCGGTACTGCCTTCTTATCTAAAACGTGTAAAGTTGCAACTGACCTGTTGTGATTGGTCGGCTTCATTATACCCATGTCTTGACGCATGCTTTAGACTGTGTGCAGGGTGTCGCCGACCACCTCAGTGGTTGACACCGATACCTACGTGAGATCGTACTAACACTGTTTGTGGTGAGTTAAGTTAACGTGTTGTGATAGATATAAGTATGTTTCTGTTTATATGTGCATCTACATTTGTGTCCGCTGACATTCAAAAGCAGTGTGTTCACAACACATTTTTTCAACAATTTGTATGACTTAATAGTAAACAAACTTCATGGTATCTATATTTTTCTCATATGCAAACTTCAGTTAATCTTTATTTGTATTGACTTTGTGTAAGTCCTGCTTCTGATCACATGAGTGTAGGTCTCAAATAAAGTTCTTGAGTTTACAAACGGTTTGAAAGGTGCATCACTGATTATGAAGAAGCAGTGAGGGGATGGATGGAATATTTATTATGTGTGCCATCTAATACAGAATGTTTTATAATTGTAGTTAGTTTGCTTCCTATGGTATTGTCTATATCTTCCAGTTTCGTTTGTATGTATCTTACACTCTGTTGAGTACAAGTTAAGCACCGAAAGATGATGCATATACATAAGGAGAAGTCAACGTCATGATCAACCTATTTATCATCAGCTTATGTCCTTAAAAGGTTCTTTTATGGTCTTTTAATAAACGATTTATCTTTCTTGTCGTTCAGATGATCGCAATGACTAACTTAAAATCAATAGCGTATATCAGAAACATTGAAATTATTTTGTGTAGTATTTTGACTTTTGTACAAAAATGAGGAAGCTTACTATTGTCTTTTTTTTCAGGAACCAGTGCGGCGGTCTTGAAGTGACGCAACGTAATGTAATGGAGGGGGATTGTATCGTCTGCTTTCTTGGACTTCTCCTGCTGTGTGCGCAGAGAGCGGTTGATGCCGTCAACAATCCAATAACCGTCACACAAAATGGAGCTATCCGTGGAATTACACACGAGTTCGGTGGCAGACTAAACAGAAAGTCAGTTGATGTTTACTATGGTATACCTTATGCTCAACCGCCAATAGGTGATCTGCGTTTTAAACTTCCAGTTCAGATTGATAGATGGGATGATGTTTTGGATGCCACCAGGAAACCAAATACATGTATGCAAGGATATGATACGTTTTTGGGTAATTTTAGTGGGGCTACGGTTTGGAACCCAAATACAGAACCATCCGAGGACTGTCTATACCTCAATGTTTGGGTCCCCAAAAGTGGCCGGTCCAATTTAAAAAACAAAGCTGTGTTTGTCTGGATATACGGTGGAGGTTTTTACAGTGGATCCTCAACTTTAGAAATATATGAAGCCAAATATTTAGCAGTAGAAAATGATGTTATTGTTGTATCTATGCAATATCGTGTCGGTGCCCTTGGGTACCTTGCAATGGGTCACGCACAGGCACCTGGTAATATGGGAATGTTTGATCAGAGGATGGCCTTGGAATGGGTTAAACGAAATATTGAGTCTTTCGGTGGCAATTCACGAAATGTGACAATTTGTGGCGAAAGCGCTGGAGCAGTGAGCGTAGGTTTACACCTCCTATCGCCAATAAGCCGCGGACTGTTCGACAGGGCTATCCTACAGAGTGGGGCTCCACAGACAAAATGGGCTACTATACCAATGCACGAAGCTGAACGAAGAGCTCGCAGGTTAGCAGAACTTCTGGGATGTGATGCTGAAGCCACTAAGTTTGAAGTTATCCAATGTTTAAAGAGCAAACCGGCGAAAGAGTTTCAAATGCACGAATTTACCGTGATAGGTGGTGGGGTAGTTCAATTCCCCTTTATCCCAGTGATAGACGGCAGCTTCTTGGTTGAAAGTCCAGAAGAGTCGATCAGACTACGAAGGTTCAAAAAGATTCCACTCTTGTTGGGCAGCAATGCCAATGAAGGAACATTCTTCTTGGTGTATTTTAATACAGATTTTTTTAACATATCCTTAGCAGCAAATATCAGCAATGTACAGTATACAATGGTAATGGATCAAATGTTTAAGACCTATCCCCGACACCCGCATCGACTGAACAACTTTGGAATGGACGCAATACTGTTTCAGTACACAAACTGGCTCGACCCGGAAAACCAGACAATGATCAGACACAACATAGAACAGGCTGTCGGCGATTTCCATTTCGTGTGTTCGGTTAACGACCTTGCACAGGCATATACCAGCGCTGGTCAAAATGTTTATTACTACAGGTTCACTCATCGGATGAGCAACCATGTTTGGGGAAAATGGATGGGTGTACTACATGCAGACGAAATAAATTTTGTGTTTGGAGAGCCATTGAATCGTACGAAAGGATATACAACACACGAGAAAGAACTCAGCAAAAAGATGATGCGTTACTGGACTAACTTCGCCAAAACAGGGTAAGTGGTTCTTCATGTTTCTCATATTTTTCTATGTTTCACTTCTTCTGAAATTGCAGACACGATATTGGATGGAAGTTATTCCACACACACACACACACACACACACACACACACACACACACACACACACACACACACACACACACACACACACACACACACACACACACACACACACACACACACACACACACACACACACACACACACACACACACACACACACACACACACACACACACACACACACACACACACACACACACATTCATCCATTTCATACACAATTTCATGTTATAATATTATTTATAAAAGTTTAAAACACTTGCCACCTGCAGTCAAAGCTAGGCCATTTCGCTGTGGTTCATAGAAGTACCTTGCACTACATCGTTGTAGGGTTGTAGGGTTTATGTTTTCACTGTGGCTTCTGCTGGCAGTACGTAGTGTTAGCCAATATTCAACAATACTCAACAATGAGTTGGGTTTAAACACTGGTCGATTATGACAAAAAGTACACGGGTGACAATCTGTTCTGCAGTACTTCACCCTCCAGAGCCTTCAATAAGCTCAGTTGTTTATCACATTAAATTTACGAAAATGCAATTATTTAGTCTTAGAGATATGTATATTTTTAAACAGATTTCTTTTATGTTGCTTACGATGTGATGCCCTCTCCCTTGGGTTGAAATACCGTTTAGAAAAAAATATTGCTTGATAATGCGAATCCCTTGCAATTACAAAGTTCACATTGTCAAATATACTTGTCGTTGAACCTTTCTTCACAAGTGATACACATTCTATTTTAGCAGATTTTCGTGAGTTAAACAATTCTGGTCAATACGACATCGTCGCAAAATGACTTCATTATGTCTTCACTGACAACCTAAGTAGTTTAGTTTAATATGCACTAGCAGGAATCATGGCATAATCAGTACATTGTTTTAATAAGAACGAATAAGCGATGAACATGTTATACTTTATCTCACTTCGCGCTTTGTTCCGTCTGCCGTACTACGTGTGTATATTTGCCGTATACAGCCAACGAAGCTGAATGTTTTCATTAAATGATCGAAAAAATATCATATCCGATCATTGGTCACAGACTTCCGATCAATGATAAACTTGACTAAGGTGTCATATTGAAATATCCATTTGGAATACAACTCTGCCATGTCTACATTATTTTTTGTGCATGAATAATGCAAGCCTATTGACATCTTTATTGTTTTTCAATTTTGTCCTAACTATTGGCTTCGACCTGCATGTATAACAATAACTCTGGTAATTTTGCATTCTTAACGTGTCCTTTAAAACCATCGAGTTCATGAAACCTGAATTATGTGCACGTGATCACAAGAATAGGAAACCCAACTTTGTAAAAGGGAACTGCGCCAGTCATTCCATGCATTAAAAATGTTAAAAACGTGATGCACCAAAACGTATATAATCAACGGCCAAAAACCCTGTGATTCATGGAAGTGTAAAAATGGTATGGAATAACATGATATTTCGCCATTCGTCTAATGCGTTTACATAAACATTTTCACAGACAAAACACACACCAGGGATAAAGCGACACGCCCTAAGAAAAGGATGGTATGACCTCCATTTGCGTTGATACAGACAAGGCGCTTTGAAAACACTGGATGAAAATACTGTATATAGTCGGATGATGTTTTTCCAATTGTCAACCAAAGATATGTCTGACTTAGCCAGCTGCAACGACCGGCTCTGGTCGCGTCGTTGTGTTGTTTCATCTCACCCCCTACATATTTCGTTTGGGATGTGTTTGGTGTAACAGTCGACTTTAGTAGTCCAGCATATTATTCTGCCTCATAAAGTCTGTTACAATATTGTGACACATGCAACATGTGGGCGGGCATTGCCCTGCTGCTATGTGGCATATTTGCACAAATGGTAAACAAAGATGTCGAACGATGTCGTTACGGTAGCGTAAGCCATTTAAATTATCTTAAACAATGATCAGTTGTGTCCTCCTATGAGATGTGATGTCTACCCTCACGATTCCGATTCAGTTCCGAAACTGACGACGATGAGTCATGTGTCGCGAAAACGATGTCCTAGACGTCAACAGACCCTTGGATGACCACCCGAGATGTCAAATGGAAACAGTATACTCCATACAATACAAGGCGTGCTTGCCACACAGACGCAAGATGGGGCGTTTTGCTAGACGTAGGCCCGGAGGTTGTGCTCAGAGGAAACCACTGCAGAAGATTTCGTGGCCACAACTTTTGAACATGTTGAGTCAAATATGGCCTCAACATCACTTGACTTTAACATGTAAGCAAGAACAGATGATCTTCAGCAGCCAATGGTAATTTACGAAACAGCTTCCGCAAGTGTTTTACCTGATACCCTTTCATACAAAGACAAACGTAGAGAAGCCTTGCAAGCATATTGTCAACGCGTACATATGTCGACAGGGGAACTAACTCATAATTAAGACGAAGTGTACGTTGAAGAAGACAAAAGAATACGTTGAGTCCAAACGTCTTTAGTTAATTACATGTACACAAGATAGTAATGAGCTGGGTTGCCGGCTGAGACTTGAATGAAGTGAGTGGAGTTCCAGCTGAACCTCAGGGCGCTTCATACGAGCGACATTATCCTGCTCGCGGTCGTCCCTACACAGACAGTCGGAATACCGGACTGGTTACAATATAGATATGAACATATATATATAATCATAGACAACAATGGACAGGTAAAGAAACAATAGCACTTCCTTGGGGCAGTTGAGGTGATGGCAGACACGGCCAAGGGGGTTGACAAATTAAGGCTATAAATGTCATATACAGTAATTAATGAAAGTCAATGTACAATGCGGTAGTGATAAGGATCGAGAATGCAGAGTCGCGTCATATATATATTTATCGTTAAGTCCCACATGGCTTGTTTTTTTAATCTCTAGAAATATTTGGACGATGGCTGTCCTGAATTAGTCGCTATGACAATATCATAACTTCGACCCAGAAAAAGAATTCGATGTGGCAGCCATCGAAGACACATTTTGACATGTTTTCATATATTCTTGCAGTATCGAGCAGGAAGAATATGTAGAGCTTGGAATGGTTCGAACAGATAGTTAAAAGGAGCAAATTTTCGATTACAAGTACTGATAAACATTGAAATGTGCATAGCCAAGACCTTCAATGCCAAACGATGCCATTTAGCGACATGTGACGTCGAGGAGAAATAGACAGGCACCTGGATTTAGAAGGCACCATACTACAAAAATTGTATAGTCAAGCTTTAGACCGTGTTTGGGAACTTGATTATACCCTTAAGGAGAAGAGGAACCATTACAGTCAAGCAGTTTACTGTCAGTGGTAGTAATCGCCCTCCTATGTTTTGATTCTTTACTCAGTGAATTGTACATTGTCTTGATGTAAAACGTGACCAACGATACGTCGCTGCTGTATTGGTACGTAATTAGAACTTGTATGGCGATTACATAATTGCATCGATCCAAGGTTTAGCTTCATAAATTAGTATGAACATGAGCATTAATTAAGCACCACCTGAAGTTTATGTAATTAGGGGCCAAACTGCTTCACATAATGTCTCAAAAGGTATGGGTCGCATGGTGCATGCCGACGAACTGCACAGGCAGAAACGTCCGGCGTGGTGCAGGCTCCGAGAAAACCGCAACTTTAGGACATGGCGTCGGGTTCATTGGTCTGAAAGTCCAATGTTGCGACGGGCGTTGTCGCATGTAGAATCGTTGTAACAAGGTATTTCACGAGGAGAAATCCATGAACCCTTTGGTGCGACTCAGTGATGGATTATCATGGTCCGACATGAACCACCTTTGGGACTATCGTGGATGCCAGGTTCGAACTGGATATCCTCCTTTTCGAACCTGCTGGAATAGGTGCAGGCATTCAATGAAGAATGACAAAGTAACTAGCAAACCTTGTTGTTATATCCTCGGCAGGTATATTCGGCTCCGGGACATCAAACGCAGGTGTCATTTCAGGAATGCTAAGTAACATATCATCGTCACTGTCATCGAAGTCAAGTTCGTGTTTATAAACACTCCTACGACATCCAGTTCTCAGGTTTTCAATAATGAACTTCCTCGCCATATTTCTTCCTGGTAAATGGAACGCAACAACTCGACATAGTTCTCCGTTGAAAGAAACATCATCGCCAAGCGATAGGGATGCGCCATGTTGATTTACAGAACAGATAGATCAAACGTTAGCATGGACACACGTGACTACGGGGGGGCAGCGGGGAACAGCTGGATAACGTCATTCACTTGTTACGTCATCAAAAAACTATACCTTTATTGTCTGATGATGTTGTATTTTTTCGATTGTTCTAACCGCTAGGCATCTTAGAAAATGTAATAAAGCGAAATTTCGCCCTGAACTATTATAACGTTAAAGCACTCGGACACAAGCGTCCTCGTGCTTTAACTATAATAGCTCAGGGCGAAAGTGTGCTTTATTACACTATACATGGTGGTAGAGCGAACTGTATTTCTTAAATAGCAAGCGGCAGCAGTTCAACACTTTATGTCAATGTTTCACATGTACTCTGGAACAGCTTAAGAGTTGAGCTACAGAAATGAACTCAACACTACTCTGGTCTTTATCCTCGGGAAACGTGAACAATCATTTGTTCTGAATATCATGTCGAATCAACAGTTCAGAACTTGTCTGAAGTGTGTGCAAATTATTTAGGCTAAACAGCACATGACTTATGATCCGAAAATGAATCCTTCATCCCACACTGACTTACTTCCTTACAAACGCTTGCAACAGTTTAGTGGTGTGTAGACTCAGTTGAACCGTATGCTCTCATACAGTAACGTCACCTGATGCAGAGAAGATACATCGTGGAGAGGCACCTTCCGAAATAGGAATACAAGCACGACGCATATTACACAATTTAAAGTGAGATCCGCGCGTTAGTTTGAAAAGGCAAAACCAAAATATTACCAAAACGAGAACACAATGATGCTA